GCCTGGGAGAAGCAACTGACTCGGGATTGGCTGACGGTGACATCAGGGCAGTGCAGGAGCCAATAGCAGCGCCCCGATGAGGAAGTTTCCCGAGACCCGGATGCCTTAATAACGCCTCTGGGCAGTGGGGGGCAGAGGAGGGGGGGGGGCTCCGCCCAGCACCGCGGGGCGCCCTGACACCTGCTCCCCCAGGGCCCGCGGGCGGGTGGGGCGACCTCGCGGTCCCCTGGCTCTGTCCTCGCGGGGCGGCCCTGCGGGGCTGTGGGTCCCCCTCCCAGGACCCCTGTCCCAGCGTCGCCCCTTACTCTCCCGACGCCTCTGCCGCTGGTTTTTCCAGCGGATGGTCCTGCCTGGAGGATGTGCAGGAGGCCTCGTGCCGCTGTGTCACCCAGGCCCCCCGGGGGCCCAGCCCGGAGCCCGCGCCCCGCTTTGTGCAGGCTCCCCCTATGCAGAGGGGGCTATTCAAGGCCTCCCGGTTCTGAAATAAACCTGGTGTCCAGGGCCCGTGACCGGCCAACAGTCACAGCCTCAAGTGGCTTTTTCCTGGTTTTAAGTGCAAGGCTTTCTTTTTAGAAACCAAGAGGAAGAGGTGGAGAAGGGACGAGAAGCACATCAGTCAAAAATAAATGCGGTTAACATAATGGCTATTGGCTTCAAAAATATGATTTACCAATTTGGAATTGTACTGACGATCTTTTTGGGGGTTTTCATTTTGTTTTTTGTCAAATAAGTGCTTCCTCCTGTCTTTAAATAGTCTTTTTTTCCCCCTGTTTTTTTATTTTTAAGATGTATTTATTTATTTATACAAGCACTGGGTACAGTCAGAAATGCAGGAGGGTGGGAGAATTCACCAGAGCCAGAGCGGGGAGCAGAGCAGGCAGACTGACTAAGTACACTGCTGAGGGGAGCAGGGGGCGCGGCAGGAGAGGTCTGCGCGCCATGTGGGACCCTCGCCCGGCGGCCCGGGATCGAACCTGCGCCGCAGAGGCTGCGGGCAGCTTTGCAGCCCAGCACTCAACTGCTGCGCCACCGGGGAGGCCCTCTAAGTTTTATTTCTTGTAGCTTCATAGTAAGCCAACAAGTGGAATCATTGAAATATTCACCTTCACTTATATAGAGAGGTTCTTCCTAGCTCTTCTGTATTTTGAACAATTTTGTGATGAATAATGATCCTTTGTACCTAATTTCTTGCCCCAACATCTGACTACTTCCTGGAGAGTCAGTCTTAGCGATAGGATCATTTTAAAGATCCCTTCACTCCCCACTACTTGGATTAATCTTTTTTATATACTTGCGTTCCTCTTTCTTGCTATTCCAGATTAAAATTACATTGTCTAATTTCAAACCAAACTTCCAGGTATTTTGATTTTATGATGCTTATTCTGGTCAACTTAAAAAAAGATTTTAGGTGAAGATTTATAGTCATTTTAAAATCTAATTCAAGGTAGTTTTACATTTTATTTGCTTCTGGAATGGAATCTTATTTCACCGTATTTTCTAGCTGGCACAAAAAGTGCTGATTTTTATAAGCTAATTCATTTGAGTACACCATCAAATCTCTTTTTAGTTCTGTGTTCAGGGCTTTGCAGGCAGTTATTAGAGCAGCAAGCTGCATATCCAACAACTTGCCTTATAGATGCTTTTGTATGCAATGTCCCTGTAAGTTCCATTTTGACCCTTTCCTTTGAGGTTTGGTGTGAAATTATCGTTGCCGACCTTGTTTTCTTTCTGTTTGGGTGTGTATGGTTAGAACCCAGAGTGTCCTCCACGGCTCATTTTCTTATTTTGGTTGAGACGTGTTTCTTTCATAAGCAGTTGATTATAGTTTTTAAAATCTTATTTGCAAATCTTAATTTTTTAATAGAACAGATTTGTTGGCATAGCAACAATGACATTGGACTTTATGACTTCTTGTTTCTTTTGTGTCCCTTTAGGCTGCTTGTACTGGTTTTTCTCTTCTATTTTTTCATGTTGGAAAGAATAGATGTTGTTTTAAGTCTCCTGGTATTTTAGCAACCTTTGAACTATGTGTCTCAATATCAAAAGCACAGAATGAAACTGTTTTTAAAAAATTCTGTTCCTACCTTTTTTTCTTCTTCAAGATTAAGAGACTTTACTCCCCTGGCCTCCAGGTTTTCTGGATTTGGTTACTATAATCTGGAATTATATAACCAGATTTCTATTACTAAATTACATTTAATGTTATATATTATCTCTTCCGAGAACTTTTGACATTTGCAACACAGTACATCTTCAATGAAATCATTTTGAGTAGCATTCATGGGAGGTGTTTTCTGTTTTGTTTTGTTTTTTTAATTCTGACATTCTTGAAAATGTTGTCTTTTACCATCATACAACTCGTCTGGGTATAAAATTCTCAGATGATTCAGGGGAACTTGCTTAAGATTCTATATACCGGTTCCCCATTATTGGCCTTTTGGTAACCAGACTCATTTTTATCTCTTTGTACATAACTGGGTGTTATGGTCAAACGTCTACACCTGGAACCGGTACAGCTAAACTTTTAGTTTCAAGGTCCATCACACAGTATTTTGTTTTTTGTTTTTTTTTTAAGATTTTTTTTTTATAGAGGCATGTTTTTATTTATTTATTTGTTTGTTTATACATGCACTGGGTACAGTCAGAAGTGCGGGAGGGTGAGAGAATTCACCAGAGCCAGAGCGGGGAGCAGAGCAGGCAGAAGGACCGAAGTACACTGCTGAGGGGAGCAGCGGGCGGCAGGAGAGGTCTGCGCGCCATGTGGGACCCTCCTCCGGTAGCCAGGGAGCAGCCGGGGATCGAACCGGCGCTGCAGAGGCTGCGGGCAGCTTCGCAACCCAGTGCTCAACCGCTGCACCACTGGGGAGGCCCCATCACACAGTATTTTGATTTTGTGACGCTTATCCTGGTCTCTTGGGTGTATGCCAACAGTTCAGCTCCATTGACTTTAAAATTGGGGGCACTTCTCACTTCTGCCAACATTTCTTCTATCACTCACCCATCACTTCTCACTGATGATTTTTCATTTTTTCTTCTGTCTTCGCTGATACTGGAGTGGGTGAATTATTTCCCAGCCTTACTTGGCCTAAATTTTTGGACCTTTACAGCTCACTCCCTTCCACCTTCAAGATGTTTCTCTGACCCAGAATCTTCTACTCATCTTCCCAGGATTTTGTTCCTGCCCCCTTTTTTCCCCTTATTGGACTTTGTCTTCTTGATCACACTTTTTAATGGAGAAAACAGTCACCTGCCTCCCGCTTTTATTCCAGACACTATCTGCTTGACAGCTCGGACCCCGGTGCCTGACAGTGACCCTGTGATGGCTCCCGCTGTCCTCTCCTGCCGGATCCTGAGCTACAGCGCTCTGTGCAGGGACCGTCCCCATGACCCTGACCACCTGCCGTCCTCAGTGCAGCCTGCAGCTCCCCGTAGTTCACTAAGCTGGAGACCTGACAGACTCCTGACCTGCCTCGCCAGGCACCTCTCTCCCCAGCTGCCTGGCTAGCTGGGACCAGCCTGGCTGCCCTGCCTCCTCCCAATGTCCAAGTCCGTTGCTCCTCTTTACCCCACTCAAGCCCTTCCTTTCGGGCCCTCGCAAACTGAACTAGTGCTGCAAACCCCAGCAAGATGTTTCTGGACTTGGAATCAGGTCTGGTTCCGCCAATGATCACAGGGCGGTGATTAGGATGAGAGGTGTCTGGGGCATGTTCTGGTTGTAAATCAAGGGGGGTTCACAAGCCAGGTATAGTTCCTGGAGGACCCTTAGCCAGTAGCGGAGGTAAAGGGGGAGCAAAGAGCAGGAGCAAATACCTGCGGAGCCTGGGGGCGGGGCCGTCCACATGCTGCCTCCCCCATCCTCCCTGCTTAACCCAGACAGTGGAGGAGGTTCCCAGACACTTGTCCCCAGAAAACTGATGACCCCGACCCTCCAACTCGTCTCCATGTGTCTTTATGTTCCTCCCCAGTGCACATTGTTCCCAGGCTGTCTGTTCTCTGAAATTCATTATGCAAATCCCAGCCAGCCTGTATCCATAGAAACTGCCTTCCTCTGCCGGCGAAACCCACCCGAGTGACACCCACCAGCAGCAAGGCGGAACAGCACCCACCGCGGGGCCTATCCCCCAACCCCCCCTTCCCAACCGCAGGCGCCTGGGTAAGGAAGGGGATGCCGTGGGCCAGGGAGGATGCTGCCTCTCCATTTGGAAACCCTGAAGGGAGAGAGTACAGTCCCCGCCACTGAGGCGTCATCATTGGCCAGGTCCAAGCGGCTCAGCTCACTCTCAGCACGGGACATCCTTCCCAGCACAGGACACAGAGCCATCTCTGGGCGGTGGCAGTACAGTTGCTGCCATGTGACTGCTGACTTTAGGGACAATTTTTCAACACCTTAGGACTCCTGAGTCTCTTTCACAGGCTCAGGGTCCCCTACCATCCCCGGACACCAGTGGGCAGCCGCAACCAAGAAAGCACCCCACTGCATGCCAGACATGGGGCTTTTGCTTGTGACACAGACTGGATGATCCCAGATCCTTAGCTTTGGGAAAGACCTGGAATGAATTATGCAGGCGTCCACCCCTTGCTACTCAAGGCCAGTGCGTTATCTGAGGTCTCAGCTATTTCATCAGAGAGCCAGCTGAAACCACAGTGAACTCTCAGCTCTCGAGAACAGGCCAGACCCCACTCAGTGTTTGACATGTTTGCTCACTTGTTATGACTGGAGGTGGGTGACTTTCTCTACTCATCTTGAAGAATCTTCCTAGCTCAGCTTTTTGCTTGCTGAAACTAAGGCACTGACAGGCAAAGCAACTCTCCACGGGTAACAAAGGGGTGCAGTCAGACTTTGAAGCCAGATTGTTTTGACCTGCATCCTGATCTCACTGCTAGGCTATCTGAGTCACTAGCTACCTTTGTGAGGACGAAATGGTATTTTAAACAGGTTGAGGTCTGATTTCAGGCTTATCAAGAACATCTGAATTCCACTGCTCCCCCCGAACCCCCCTTTTAAAAGCCTAGGGCGAAATATTTAAAATGGGAATGAAAAGCTAAATCGGCGAGTTGGACCCACTGCATGAAAACAACCAACCTCCCCCACTGAAGACAAAAATTATTTTAATAACACGCTTTGTGTTTGTCTCTGTTAGGTTGCTGAGGGGCGCGGCTTGAATCCCAGAGGCGCGGGGCGGGCCTGTGCGTTCATACCTGTGTAAGCCTCCCTTTATGGTGCGATGACAGCCTGTGAGCAAGGGTGCAGGGTTTGGCAGAAGTGGGGGACTGTTCCAGTACCATTTGCACTTTGGGAATTTACAACCACGTAAGCAAATCAAGCAGACAACGCACACAGTCAGCCGGGACCTTGCCAATCTGTGAGTGCGTTTCCTATGCCTGAGTGTGGAATTCTGAATCCGTTTCTCACTTACTACAAGCTGGCCATCTCCCCATGACCATGAAATCGTTCACACACGCGTCATGTATACATTCTTGTTAGAAATCTGAAGGAATCTGAGCACTTCCAACATAGACAACTCATTACATTTCACAATCCACCCCCACCAAAAAATGGGTGAGGGATCTGACCACAGTTCTCCCAGAGGATACAGAAATAGCAAGGAAGCACAAAAGCAACTCAAGGAAAGGTGAATCAAAACCACAATGAGAGGCTCTGGATGTCCACTGGGATGCTAAGCTAGAAGACAGACATCAAGTGTTGACGAGGACACAGACCACCGGGCCCTATGCACTGCAAGGATAGAAAATGGTGCCACCTGTGGGAAAACAGCTTGGTAGTTCCAGGGAAGGTTAAAATTACTGTTCCACCCTGCAAGTCTCCTCCTAGGTATGTACCCAAGAGAATGGAAAATGCACATTCCTCCAAAACCTGTGTATACACGTTGACAGCAGTGTTACTGGCCCAGTGCAAATCACCTGAGAGTCCATCATTGAGGCGCCGACCAGGAACACGCAGTGACCACAGAGCATGGCCAACCGCCAGTGGCAGGGAGGTGTCTCAGAGGGCAAACTCACAAAGAAAGAGGAGTCTAACACAAATTCTCATGTTTATTTTTCGAAAAAGAGGTCTACGTTAATGAAATTGTCCTGTTTTACAAAAAAACACTCTCCCAACATCTATGGTGGAAATAAAAACATTTTTGGAAGTTTATTGTAGCTAGCAAAATAGCTCCAGGCAGAGCCTGCTGTGCAGACTGACCCGCAGGCCTGTGCTGGCCGCACAAGTGTGGCCCCAGCGTGCCTTGGGCTCTTCTGAGCCCCGGACCCTTTAGACAGGTGGGCAGGCGGGTCCTGGCAGCCGCTGCATTTTATGTCACGGACAACAGCACGTATATAACCAATTTATGGGCTTGAGTCATCACTTGTTTCAAGTGTCTGCCTCGATGAAGGGCCCCGCGGGCAGAGGGGTGTGCCTCGGCAGAGCACAGCTCCCAAGGAAACCCTGCCCTTACCATGGAGTTTCCCGACCTGCAAGTGGATAGCTAAAAACGAGGAGAGGGAGGGAGGACAGATGTGGATGGAACCACAGGTGGCTGAGCAGGAATAGCAGGCTGAGACCAGCACAGCCTTGGGGTGCTCCCTCCGTGCCCCTGGGCACCCCCAGATCGCAGGCCACCCAGCCTGCCTTCTCTACTCCTCTGTGAGAGGGAATCCAGGGGGACCTCATCTCTCACCAGGAGAGATGAGGAAACCGAGCCTGAGAGGGAACAGCTCTAGGCTGTGGTTCCTAAAACTTCTCCTGAGTGCTCTGAGGCCCTCTGCCCAGAGGGTAGTGTCTACACATGGACGAGCATAGCTGGTCTGTGGGGATGCTGGGGCACAGGCCGAAAACAGGGACAGTGCAGGGGGGCCCTGGTCCTGCCCAAAGCCAGGACCCCGACGTGGCAGAGCCTGCCTGAACTCAAGCCCTCCGCAATGCAGAGGGCCTGTTTTCGGCCTGTGCTGTCTCTGTTTTCGGCCTGTGCCCCAGCACCCCCACAGGCCAGTGGCAAGGCTGCCTGCTTTCCTGACCTGCTCCTTCAGGGAAAACCACCAGGCTCCGCTCACACTGTGGCCTGGCTCCCTCTGCCTCCCAGGATGCTGGGATCTGCCCGGTGCTGCTCGTGGCAAGAGGTCCCGCTACTTCTTACTGTAACAGCAAACTTCCCCATGGCCACGGTCTGGCTAATAATAAAAGCACATTTCAAAACAGGCTATTCTAGAAGCAGACATGATTCCAGAAATCCCAGGATTGGGACTGAGAAAGTTCAGGTCCTGAGGTCCCACAATCCCGGGGAGCACCTGGCCGGCAAGGTGTCTCCGGGAGGCTTGCCACCTGGGCCGAGGGGCCCACGGGTGGCGACCCCGACAGGGCGGGCGGGCTCAGCCGTCCAGCCCCTCCCTGATGGTGATGCGCAGGGGGCAGATACGCAGAGGCTCGGGGGGGCCGTCGCCGCGCATGCCGCCCAGGTAGAAGTAGGGCCGCACCTCGCCAAAGCGCGCGTGGAAGGTGTAGAGGTGGCAGTGGCGCTCGGCGTCGTAGAAGGACAGCTCGCCCTCCTCGCACTCCAGCTCCACGCGCAGGCGGCGCGGGATGGCAGGCACCAGTGGCGACGTGGCGGGGTCCGAGGTCACGCAGTGGTCCCCCTCCACGCCCTGCGTGCGGCACACGTACCAGAAGCCGGCGCGCGTGTCGTGGTAGCAGCTGTGCGAGTGGCCCTCGGCTCCCGCGTCCTGCCGGGTGCGCACCACGCCCACGCGCCAGCTGGGCAGCCCCCCCAGGTCCACCTCCCAGGTGTGCGAGCCTTGTGCGAAGGTGCGGGAGCCCAGCAGGCAGGGCGCCGACGAGAAGCGCTCGGGGTTCTCCACCTGCACGCGGTAGCCGTGGTTGGTGACACTGGTCAGGTCGTCGGACACGGACAGCCAGCCGGCTGCGGTGTTGGGGTCGAAGCTGAAGGGCACTGGGCGCAGAGGGGGAGACGGGAGCTCAGCCAACAGTCCTGCCTCCCTCCGCCGGGTCCCACCAGCCCCGGGGCCTGAGGGGAGCTGCCCTGGGCTGTGGAGGGGATGGCGGCCATGGGTGGAAATGTGCCCCCCAAAGACAGGCTGAAGTCCCAATACCCACTCCTGGAGAAGCTGCCTGTCTGGGAACGGGGTCACCGCAGATGTGCTTAGTTAAGATGGGGTCAGACCAGAACAGAGCGGGTCCCTAATCCACACGTTTCCTTGTGAGGACAGACACGGAACGGAGGAAGCAGCCTGGGGGGTGAGGCAGAGATCAGACACGGGGCGAGCCAGGGACAGGAGCCATGGCCCAGGGGGTGGGGGCCGCCCGGGGACAGGCCAAGAAGGCCCCTCCCCGCCAGGTTTCCAGAGGGAGCCTGGTCCTGCCCACAACTTGGCTGTGGACTTTCAGCCTCTGGAAAGTGAGCAAGTAACATTCCGTGACTTTAAGCCACCAGTCTGCGGTCCTCAGAACGGCTGCCCCAGGAAGCCCATCCCGTGGGGACCCCACCCAGTGGGCCCTGCGGCTCACGTGTCCTGGACGGCTAAGCACACCACCGTGCCTGGTCACCAAGGCTTCTCCCGCTATGTCACTGACAGGCTGGGCTGTCACACAGAACCGCAGCCAGAGGACTCAAAGAGCTGAAGTGCATCCCAGTTCTGGAGGGCGCTGGGGAGGGCCGGTGTCCTGGCCACAGACCACGCCCTCTTGCCTCCCACAGCGGGGGAGAGAAGTGCTGTCTCCTCTTGCAAGGACACAAGCCTGTCCTGGGGCCACCTCCTGGCCTCAGGTAACCCCAATCACCTAACGCTGCCTCCAAATGCCATCCCACGGGGTCAGGCCCTCAACATGCAAATTTCAGGGGAAGGATCACAGATATTCAATCCACAGGGCCGGGCACAGCGACCCTGGGAGCAGAGGTCCTGGCCCGGAAATCTATCCTTACCTACAGGAGGGGGTTCTGAATAGAGGGAAGCCAGGGAGGAAGGCACCTGCCGGGAGCTGAGAGCAGGGGCCAAGGGATGGGGCAGCAGCAGGGACTGTCAGGACGCAGTTGGGACACGTGATGGGGTGGTCCCCCGTGACGCACTTCACTTTCCGCCGCCCATGCCCACCTGCGCCCCACTTACCAGACTCCACGGACATGACCATCTTCCTCCAGACACGGTACTGCAGCGAGTCCAGGTACTTGCAGACGTCGATGAGCATGCCGGGCTGCACAGGCTCCGGCTCCATGGTGCAGAAGAGGCTGGGAAGGGAGACATGTGCCTGGTGGGCATGGCCAAGGTCACGCCCCTGGGGCCTAACGGGGCAGCTGGAAACAGGCAACTGGACTTGTTCCCTCGCCTTGGGCTAAAATGTCCTGGCCACCTTGTCAAGACAAACCTGGGCTGGGCTGGATTGCACATGACCCAGGAGCCTCCTGGGCAGCTCACACCCCTTCGGGATTTGGTACCAGGCCCACCCTGCCCCAGCTGAGAGGAATACAAACTGGCAGTTCGTGACAAGGTTCCATCCCTGTGGGCAGAAATCCCACACGTGAGCTCTGGATGTCTGAGCTGGGGGGAACCTAAGGGTCCTCTAGTCCAATAATCTAAAGGTGTCATCAGCCTTTTCTTGAATACCTCCAGGGACAGGGAACTCACCACCGCCGAAAGCCTCTCTGCCTTCTTTGCTCAGCGCTGACCAAGACCCTGTTCTTCCTTACTCAACCCTGGGAACCCCACAGTCATGAGCACAAGCCAGTGCATCCTGAGGCTCTCAGGGCCCTGGAAATTGGGACGAGTTGCTGAGAATACCACCCATTTGCCCCCCGCTCAAGAAAACAATTTGCACCCATGAGAATCTGAATGGAACGTGAAAGCCACCTGGCCAGTCCCCACCTGCACCTCTCAAGACCCCCAGCCAGCATCCTGACCTCCCAGCCCCAGAGCTCTTGGTCTCTCTGCCCTGCCCTCCCCTCCCCTCCCCTCCCCTGGCCTGCCCTGCCCTCCTCTCCCCATCTCAACCAGCCTGAGCCACTTACCGACGTTTCCGGCTCTTGTGTTTCTGAAAGATAAAAAACAAGAGACATAAACACACAAAAAAAGTTTAAGTTTCTGACCTCAAAAGGTCACCCCTTGCTCATGATCAGAAGCCTTAATGCTGTTAAGGTGGAAATATCCCCCCACCCCCACAACAGATTGACAGACTCTGCAATTCCTATTAAACTTGTGGCAAGCTTCTTGGCAAAAACTGACAAGTTGACTCTAAACTTCAGATGGAAACATGAATTCCAGGGGCCCACAATAGCCAAAATAATCTTGGAAAAAGAACAAGGCTGTTGGTTCATGCCTCCTGCTTTCAAAACTTATTCACACAACAGTGGTCAGGCCAGTGTGGCACCATCACGAGGAGAGACACACAGACCAGTGGACACTGAAAGTTCGTAAATTAACCCTCCTACGTTCTGTCCATGGGCTCTCTGCAAGGGGGCCAAGGCCATCGGACGGAGGACGGGCAGTCTCCAGCCAACAGGGCTGGGGATCCATGTGCAAAAGGGTGACGATGGAGCCCCACCTTGTGCCATATGCCAAAAAGGAGCGCAAGGTGGGTCAAAGACTTAAATGTAGTCAGAACTACCGAACTCACGACCATGGCTCCTTAGCTCTGACACCAAAGCCACAAGCAGTGAAAGAAGATTCTGGACTTGGGCAAGGGTGAAAAACGCGTGCTTCAAGGGGTGTCAGCAAGAAAGTGGAAAAAGAGGGCCTCCCCGGTGGCGAGCGGGTTGAGCGCAGCTCTGTGATGCTGTCCGCAGCCTCTGCAGAGCAGGTTTGATTCCCAGCCAGCCAGCGAGATTCCCCCATGGCACAGCAGACCTCTCCTGTCTCCCCGCTGCTCCCCTCAGCAGTGTATTTCAGTAGATCTGCCTGTTCTGTTCCCCACTCTGTCTCTGGTGAATCCTCTCACCCTCCCATGCATCTGACTATACCCCAGTTCTTGTATAAATATTTAAATAAATCTTTAAAAAAAAAAGAGTGGAAAAAGAACCCACAAATGAGGAGAAGATGTACATCTTCTATAAAGGTCTCGTATCCATACTTACATACACTTAGAGGTCAACGACATAAGACATAGAAGCCAACTTAAAAAGCAGGCAAAGAACTCGGGATGTCTATTCCCCAAAGAAGCTACACCAACGGCCCATCAGTACGTGACTTGTTCGACATCACCAGCCGTGAGGGGAATACAAAGTAAACCAGTGAGGTACCACTCCACACCCATCACGGCAGCTACGGTTGTAAAAAAGAAATACATATGTATCTCTGAAGTGCTGGCAAGGATGGAGAGAAATCGCAATCCTTTTCACACTGCCGGCAGAAATGTAAAACGGTGCAGCTGCTTGAAAAACAGCCTGGCGATCCTTCCAAGAGTTACCACGTGATCTAGCAAATCTATTCCTAGGTGCAAACCCGGGAGGGGTGAAAGCATCGTGTCCACACAAAAACCTGACCCTGAAGGCTCAGTGACGGCTGGGAGCTGGCTGGACACACAGATGCGGGGCCCTTGCGGTAGGGTGGCCGATGAATTCTCAACTTTCTGGATTTTTGTCTCTGCGGGGGTGACACCTTAACCCCACTGCCAAGGGTCCCCTGTACGCTACCGAATTAAGAAGCAGAAGGCGAAGAAACCGAAGAGAGGGAGGGGAGAGAGAAAACTGCCCATGCCAGTCTTCTCAGCCCCTGGCCCAGGAGGCCCTCCTGGTGTCCAGCCGCTCAGGGAGGCCGGGGCTGCTGGTCCCGCTCCCATAGCTCAGGGAAGCCAGGGGCCCGGTGCTCACCATGAGGAAGGACACGTCATCTTCCTTCATCTCCATCTGCAGCCGCTCGATCTCATGGGCCAGCGCCTCCGTGTCCTCTGCCAGCCGCTTCATCTTCTCCTCAGTCAGCAGCTGCTTCTGCCGCGCCTCCTCTGCCATGGCATCCAGGATGGTCTGCTCCTCCACCCTCAGGAACTCCCGGAGCTTATCGAACTCCCGTCGGATCCGGCCTTCCAGCCAGGCCACCTCCACCTGCAGAGAGCGGAGGGCGCCCGAGGTCAGCCGTGCAGGGAGCCTCGGCTGTGCACAGTCTGCTAGAACCCTGTTGTCAACAGAAACCAGCTGCAGAACCCCCAGAGACAGAACGCAGATACGGTTTGATTAGCACACATTTATCACTGAAAAAAACAGTAGAAGGTTGTTTCAGTGAATTGGAAAAAATATTTGAAATCTGGAAAGCTCTCTGCACCCCTATGTTCAGAGCAGCGCTGTTTACAACAGCCAAGACTGGGGCACCACCGAGGGGCTGACGGACAGGGGAGATCAAGATGGGGTGCACCATGGCATCCTTCTCAGCCCTGAAAAGAGACGAAACCTTTCCACAGGGCAGCACGGCTGGACCTGGAGGGGAAGCGCCTCGGGAAATAAATCAAAGGCAAACACCAGGTGATTTCAGGCATAGGTGGAAGACACAGAAACAAAACAAGCAAATAAAAAACAAGAAGGAACTCCAAGACACAAAGAAGAGGGTGGAGAGAAGAGGGGAAAGGAATTGGGGGGCGGGGAACAGGTAAACGGGGCCAACTGTAGGGTGACGGGTGGAAACTGGACTCCGGGGGCCGATCACGGTGCAGTGGAGACAGGGGTCGACGACAAGGCTGCACACCCGGAACGCGCCGACCGCCATAAACCAGTCTTTACCGCAATGAAGACCCGACCTCCACTCCCCCCGCCCGTCTGGTTCAGGCAGCAGCACAGAAGGTGCGGACAGCGGCCACTGACGCGGGCCTTCCAATCGCAGGTGCATCCCAGCCAGCGCTCACCAAACGAATAGCGGGAGGTAGTTACCTAAAAGTGGAATCATTCATGATACACGTTCTCCTAATCACAGCTACAAAAAGCATTAAAAAAAAAAAATTGGAGCCATAAGGCAGATAGCTTTCCAGATTTCTTTCTTAAGGAAGAAAGGCAAAGAATATCTCAAGAAAAAGCAGAGAAATTCTCCTCCTGTTGGGAGGAGAAACACGGCTCTCCACAGAACATGACACTGACGCGCCTCGAAGGCAGGTGACCGCAGGCCCCGTCCCTGGGGCGGCCCTGACCACGGGGTGACAAGATGACCCGCAACAGGGAGAAAGGGACCAAAAGGAAGCGACAGTGAAAAGACAAACCCGGGGAAGCGTGTCCAGACGGCCGACGGCCACTATTCCTAAGGGCAACGCACCCTGGGAAGCCTCAAGGAGGAAAGACAGGCGGCTGCCGGGACGGGTGAGCTGGCACTCCCGCAAGAAACACACACGGCTGCTCTACTTGTGTAAAGTCTACACACGAGGGGCCAGAGCGCTGCAAGTGAGCAGAGGGGCCGGTGGACAGGCCAGGCTGAGGCCGACCAGGCCCTGAGGGAGAGCGCGAAATCAAGGGTGACTCTCAACACACGGCCAGGGAAGCGCAGAGGGCGGAGAAGCAGCCAGGGCAGAGGCAAGGCCACCACTCTTGCCGTGGCAGCCTCGCAGGAAAGGGGAACCTCAAACTTCCACGTCAGGCATCATCCCGCTGACTGGATGGAGGGGACCACCGCGTCCTCCGCCCCTGACCACACAGGTCCCGCGGCGGGGCGGGGCGGCCGCCTGGACAGAAGCCCCCGCAGACAGCCCCGCTCCAGCCCGCCCCAGGCCAGCCAGGCGGTGAGGTCAGCCACAAAAGGAAACCAAGGTCAAGCGAGGACACGGAGCTCAGGGTTCCATGGCAACCTCGGAAAACAACACGCGCCGGCCTGGGTGGCTCAGGGATCTGGTTCTCGGAGTGGAAGCCTGGCGTGCTCCGGGCTGGCCGCAGAATGCCGCATGATTCATGGAAAAGGTGAGAAACGCCTCGATGGTTTGCTGGCCTAGCAGACTTGAGCAACACTGGCTGACTTCCCTCTGCCTTCCTAGGCCGAACGCTTACGAACAGCCCAGCAAGAGGGCATGGTCCTCTTTTCACCGCAGTGGGGACTAGCTGGGTGGGGGCCGGGGGGCTTGCACGGAGAACTTGGCCTCGAAAGCAGGTCTGCTCTGCAGCTCCCATGTGGCCCCGGCATCCCGCCGCCCTGCCCACTGCTCTGTTCCCCCTGCTCTGCCGCTTGGGGTCTGATGGGGGGTCAGGTGACAATGGGGCTCTTTCCTAATCCTGACCCTCGCCCAGGAGGCACGGGCACGGGAGGGCTGATGGAGCGGACACGGTGGGTGAAAAGGCAAGAGGAGTAACAAGCGTGCCCCAGTTCATCGTGGGCTTGAGCACACGGGCAGGGGTGAGAGGCACAGCTTGGGTGGGGATGGTGGGGGGTTTGCATGGGCAGGGGTGGGGGGCACTTGGCACAGGTGGTTTTCCCAGAGGCCGAGCAGGGCAGCACAGCTGGCATCAGAGGGCAGGGTGGGGGGAGCCCCTGGGCTGGGGAGGGCCAACTCCATGCCTACAGTTCCCAGGGGGACAACACCAGGCGGGGCACCGCGCACTCTGCCCAGCACCCACTCACCTGATTGTGCTTGGCGATGGCCTCGTAGGAACGCCGCATGGCCCAGAAGGCCTTGGCCTTCTCCCGCAGCGCGTGCTCCATGTTCCTGCACTTGGCCTGCCGTGGGGAAGAGGAAGAGGCGGGAGGCTGGTTAGGGTGGAGGCGACACAGCATGCAGGCGAGGGAGTTCCTCTCCACGAGGGCGCCGCCACCACGCTGACCAAGCGCAGCCTGTCCTCACACTGCGGGGCCCAGGAGAGGCAGGCACCGCCCTGACCCGGGATCTCACGCTTACAGCAAAAACGGCCTAGATGTCCCCAAAAGGGCCCTTCGTTCTGCACCAGGGACAGGACGCAGGGCTGAGCAGGCACAGGCGCCTGTTCGCTCTCGCACGGCCACACTCAGACACGGGCAGCAAAGGGTGTCCCCTCCGGCCAGCTGGGTCCAGGTGGGCCTGCGGCCTGCAGCCCCGTGTTACCAAAGCGCAGCAGCTCACGGGGCCTTTCTGAGCCAGTCACTGCCCCACATCCCCTCTAAACTGCCCATCTCCCCGGCCCTGGCGTGCCCTAGACTCTTAACAGGCTCGGGTCACGGGTCGGGAATGACTGTACTTTCACCCGTGAAATCCAACGCTTTTGTGCAATAGTTTGTCTTTTCAACATAAACCTCCGGCTCAAGGCCCCCCAGCTCAGGGCTCCCCGGCTCAGGGCTCCCCAGCGGGCAGCGCGAGGTGCAGACTGGACCCCACCGCCGGGATCAAGGTCCACCCCTTTCTCTCCACCGTCTGAGAAGGTTTCACGGGTGCTTCCTTCCGATGTCAACCCAAAGCCTCAGCCTGACCTGACAGGGCCCCCCCCACCCCCCGCCACCTGAGAGCAGGACCTTTCCACTTGCGGTGAGCCGGCAGCTTGTCTGGGGCGTCTGGGAAGAGCGAACGGGAACAGCATTCCCTGCCCCCGAAATAACTCGCCAAATCGAACCAAACAGGAACATTCTCCTTCCGGACAGTGGGGAAACCCGAGCTGTGCATTTTACATCCCACCTTCCCCTCCTCTGCCGGCAGCGGTTACTCTAGAAACTACTCCACGTCAAAAGTGACTTCAATTGACTGTAAATGAATTTTTCATGTTTGCTTTTGACAGTTTGATGTTAACACTAACTGCGCTTGTATCACGACTGCGTCCCCCACTCAGGAGCCTGCATGCAGCCCACCAGCACCTGCAGGAGCAGAGACTGGGGGTCCCTGGGGAGCCCTGGGGTGAAGCTGGGTCACATCCTGACCCTCAGGAAGCAGAGCGGCCTGAGACACATCTGGAGCGTCACCCGGGTCCCCAAGCCCCGGGGAGCCAAGAGCTCCGACTGTGGCGTCAAATTGAAACACTCGAGTTACTCAGCCACACACACAAAACGGGGCTTATATTTACGTGAGAGGAGTGTGACTTCACTGTCGCTTTTCACTGAGTTCAATTCCTTAAGCAGCAAATGTCAACGGTGCGGTTTAATGCCTTTGGCACGTTATCAGATCGTTTCACCCACAACATCCGGGAGCAGAGTTTTGTGTGGTACAGCAGAAAGGTCGAGGGCTAAGAGTATGACTTCCCATGACCATCACAGCAAGCTCTTATGGGGGTGCAGGGGCGGGTCTGCAGCCAGAGCTGCCCCAGGCTGGGCGTCTTCACCCATCCCATCCACTTTACCCAGCTGCCCAAAAACCCGCGCCACCCTCTTCAGGGTGCCCCACGCACTCCTCCAGGGAGCCACCTTCTCCCGCAGGGCATTCAGGTGCACCTCTGGGGGCTCTCCCGCATCCTGCCCTGCCCTCCCCCATCACCTCTCTGCTGGGAAAGCTGCAGCTTCCCAGGGCGGGTCCCAACGCACAGGCCAGCACCTAGCCCGCGAGCTCCGCAGAACTCTGCAGACAGAGCGAAGGACGCCCCGGCCCCGCAGCCCAGCAGAGCAGATGCCCCATCAGTCCCTGCCCGGCGGCCGCTGCATGCCCGCTGCACGGAGTCGGGAGGCCTGGGCTGCGACCCTGTCTTTATCACCGGCGAGGACTGTGAAAACGCCCTCCCTGACTGCCGGGCTCCTCGCCTTAAAGATGAAGGCACAGGAGTTTCCGTGGCCACTCTGACGTGATCGCAAAAGGAAAAGCTCAGGCTCCTGGTCCTTCGCCAGGACTTCCCGGCACCTGTGCAGTGTGGGGCTTCTTGCTGCTGTATTTCAAACATTTGACTTCAGCCACCCTGATGGGGCAGCTCAGAGCTCTCAGGCGTGGCTGCCCAGGATCAAATCCCAGCTCGCCCACTTGGACACGGGCGACCTTGAGCCACTCTTCACTCCTCTGCCCCTCGTCTCATCTGGGGAAGAGGGCTGAGGATACGCCCCGCCTCGCAGAAGCCCCGCCTGCACTCCCCAGGACCAAGACGGCCTGGCTCACAGGACAGGTGGGGACCCAGCGAGTCAACAACGTCATCTGCCCAGAGACAGCAGGCACCGGTGCCCCTGCACGGGGAGTCCAACTCTCCTACAGTGACCTCCCCAGTGTCCCGAGTGGACACAGAAATGAGCTGGGACAACCTGACCTTGTCCAGGTCCTTCCCACCCAATTGCAGTCCAGCCTGTTCCGCCGTCCCCGGCCCAGACTGCCGCAGAAGCAGCTGTCCACCTGTGCTGGGCCCCCGACTCCAGGGCCTCAGCGAGCAGCTTCCATTCTCCCACCAACCTGGATCCGGCTGGGCCTGGCCCATGAGCTCAGGATCGGGATGGGGTGGGTAGTCAGCAAAAGGAAAGACCTGGGAGGGGAAACTGGGCGTGTCCCCTAAGAGGCACCCTGAGGGCTCTAGGTTGGGGTGGGGGTGCAGACTGACTCTGCAAAGGCAACCCCGGGGAGAGGGGCGGACCAGGGCGGGAAGAGGCTAGGGGCAAACAACAGCTGTCCTGTGGGATGAAGAAGGGACTTGATGGGGCCTGAGAGCAGGTCAGCCTGCAGCTGGCGCCAGCGCAGAGGCTGGCGTAGGCGAGGGAAGGCTGGTTTGAGTCCTGGCTGGGCCACTTTGGTTCCCTGGGCCCAAGAGTCTGTTCTCACCAGTGAAACAGCCGCCGTGGCTGTGGGGCTGTGCATGAGGGGGCCTGCACATGTTCCATGAATGTTTCGTCCCATGCCAACCTACAAAATACTGAGGACTCCCTTCCCGAACAGCGTGGCACGCACCGGCGCCTGTGTTCTGTTAATGACGCTCTCGCCGCCAGGCTCCACAGAAGGGCACTCACTGTAGTTTTGTTTGCATTTTACCTGGAAAGTTCTTTTGGTTTATTGCCTAGGTGCAGCGTGAGAAAACGGAAGTGACGCTAGTTTTGTGTTTGCAGTCAGTACTACGATAGCGGACCTGCAGCCTCGGGTTGGGATGCTTTCACCTTTAAGAAGGAGGCGTACATTGTGCAGCTGTGACTCACGGCCCTGGGCACATCAAGCTGCAGCACTCACCCTCAAGCCCCTGGAGCCCGGGTGACACCGAGGCCAGGCTTCCAAATCTCACGGGGCCCTCCCTTCATCCCACTGCGCTTGGGACAACGCCCAGACCTTGCCAGCCCAAGTGTCTTCCCGAACAGCAGGGCTGAGGCTGCCTGTCCTCTCCTGGACCCAGGGAGCCTGGCATTTGCGTACTGGGCACTCTGTCCGACTTGCTGACAGTCACTGGCAGTGGTCCTCAGTCACCCCCGCCTCGCGCATACCCACCAACGCCAGCTGCCCGCACAGGCGCCCGAACAGAGGGCCAGCACGGAGGGTTCCAGCCATCTCCATGCACCTGGAAGGCTCCCCCCTCCCACCTACTCCAGCATCGAGAGCTACACCTGATGTATTTCCTGACTCCTCAAAGCCCACGCGAGAGCCCCGTGGGGCCAGGGCTCTGTCTTCCTGCCCTGAGCACCCCACACTACCTGGAGCAGGTCCGGGAGCACAGGGTCTAGGCAGTTCTTGAAGGACAGCGTGTTCCACCTGCATGCGAGCACTCCCCTTGGGACTGATGGTCCCCACAAGTACCGTCCATCTGGCAGCACCAGTCCCTCTGGGGGCCCCCTGGGATAAAGGCCTGGCCTTTATCTGGTGAAGTGTTAGCTCTGCAGTGGCTTGTCTGTGTGCACCCCCATGACCCGTCGCCAGGGAGGATAAAGGCCAGGGAGGCCTCCTGGCTCCTGTGCACCTCCATCCTCACCGGGCAGGCCCCCCAGAAATGCTCCCCTGTCCAGGAAGTGGGGGCTCCCTGCATCAGCCCCGTATGAGAGCTGTTGAGTTTGCCTCTCTCCCAGCCTCCACCTGGCGACACTCCTGTCCCTCAGGTCTCTGCTTGAAGCTCCCCAGGGTAGGATCCCGGTTATCAGGCGGCATCTCTGGGCCCGGCTGCACCACACTGCTGATGGACAGAGCGCTGGTGTCCTCTATTCCCTTCCTGGCCCTGGCTCGTGATCCTGAATCCTGGCTCAGCCCGCTCTGCCTTAGAGTTCCTGACCTTGCCCCTGCCCATCTTCCTGTTCTCACCTCTCCAGCTCCACGGAGATTAGTCATGATGAACCCCAAGTTGCCCAGCCCCGACCCTGGACCTGAGTGCCCAGCACTTCCTCTGGCTCTCCCAGATCAGGGCCTGGCCCTCTGACAGTGGAAATGAAATGGGGACCGCTACAGGTAAGGCGACAGGGGTCACAGGGGCGCCCGCGGACAAGCCACTGCAGAGCTAACACGTCACGGCCTTGGCCTTCCCCCTCAACCACCACCATGTCCAGGGGGCTGTCAGTGACTTTAGCTGTTTCTTTGTTTTTTTTTTTTTAAATTTATTTATTTACACATACAAGAGCTGGGGCACAGGCCAGAGATGCGGGGGTGAGAGGACCCACCAGAGACTTTAGGTATTTCTTAGGAAAGACAAAGAGCATCTGGACACCAGGCCCAGGGCGCCCTGCGGCCCCGCCTTGTCAGCACCCAGCTCCTGCCAGCCAGGGAGGGCTCTCCACACTGAGAGCCTGGAGTTAGTATCTGGTCAACGGTGTCTCACACCCTGTGCAATTAGGAAAACAGCACCGAAAGCAGAACCTTCCAGAGGACAACGGGCATTTCACAAAACTTGTTTTCGGCTGACACCGGCACTGCATCCTGGGTCACAGGGGGAGACGTTCTGAAACCCCCGAGCTGCCCACATTCATTTCCTGATCATTCTCCTCCGAGGCTGGAGAACTCTCGGTGTCAGTTTCGCCCTCACTTTCCTCATAACCACTGGCAGCTGGGGGCAGCGAGCAGAGAAGGCTCCAGAACCAGGCAGCCGGCCAGGGCCGGGGCTCCCCGCAGCCACACAGCAGGGCCAGCCCCGAGGCCGGGGGCCCGCCGGGGGGATCGGAACGCAGCACCCTTCCCCGGCCGCAGACCCGAGGTGCCGGGCGGGGCCCGGGGTCACCCCACCTGCGCGTCTCGGGGACAGGGCCACGCCCTGCGGGCAGGAGGGCGCGGGGGCCCCGCGGCAGAGGGTGGGGCCCCCTGGAGAACCCTCCCCCGGGAGTCCCGCCGCCCGCCCCGGGGGGAGGCAGAGCCCGGGCGTGGGGGGCCCGCGGCGCCCCGGGGAGGCGCAGGGCGGGGGCGCGGGGTTCCGGGCGGGGTGCCGCTCACCCGAAAGTCGCGCGCGGTGTCGGCGGCGGGCTGCACGCGGTGGCCGCGGTGCCGGGCGTCGGCCTGGCAGGCGCAGCACAGCAGCTCCTTGTCGTCCAGGCAGAAGAGGCCGAGCTGCGCGCGGTGCAGGCGGCAGAGGCGCGGCGAGCGGCGGCCGGCCCAGCGCGCGCCCTCGGCCTCCTCGCGCAGCAGCGTCTCCACCAGGTTGTTGAGGGTGCGGTTGGGGCGCAGCCCCGCGGGGCTCGCGCGGTCCTTGCACACCGGGCACGCGGGCGCCGCCTGCGCCTCCCAGCAGCGCGTCACGCAGCCGCGGCAGAAGTTGTGGCCGCAGCGCAGCGTCACGGCGTCGCGGAACGGGTCGTAGCAGACGGCGCACAGCAGCTCCTCCTTGAAGGAGCGCGAGGGCCCGGGCGACGCGGCGGGGCCCGGCTCCATGGCCCCCGCGCCCGCCCGCCCGCCACTCCGCGCGGCCCCGCCCACCCGCCTCGCGGTTCCGGGGCCCGCGGCGCGAAGCCCCGCCCCTTCCGCCGAGGAGCGCCGAGGGACGGCGGCGCCGGCCAATCGCGCGGGGCGCGCCCCGGAGGCCCCGCCCAGTTCCGGGCAGCGCGGGGAAACCCCGGAAGAGCGGGCGGTGCCGCTCGGTCGCGGGGCGCGGGCGTGTCAGGCGGCGCCCGGGGAGGGGCTCTCCCGCGGCGTCGCGGGGCTTCCGCGTCACGGGAGCCCCACTTCCGACTAGAAGTGGGCTGGGGGGTCCAGGCGCCTTTCCCGCAGCCGGCCCTGGCGGCCTCGCACGTGGGGCCCGCCGGGGCCGTGGGGGTGAAAGCGGACGGGGCGCGGGCCCGGCGGGGCCCTGGGTGTGGCGGGGCCGGGCCCCCCGCGCCTCGCCGGCCGCCGCGGTTCCGTCCCGTCGCCGCCTCACGTGCGGGCGCCTTTCCTGGCCGCGCGTTCCCGCCTGGTTTCGGCCGGGAAACGAGGCCCCAGTGTCTTAGGGGGCCAGAGACCCCGGCCGCCCTATCCAGGCGATGTTCGCTGCGGAGCAGCCCGGGAAGGCAGCGCCATCCCCGGCCGGAGCCGGGCCCCCCAAATCTCCCTTACAGGGTGCTCGGGTTCCTCTTCTGTACTGCAGCCTCAGCACGGAGCCCCGCTGGGCATCGCGCCGGAGGACCCCCCCCTTTCCCCCACCCCCGTGGCGCACCTTGCAGCACCCACGAGCCGGCAGCAACCTGCGAGCGCAGAGAAACCCCGGGCTTGTTATGGCTCTTGGCAATAAATATCCTTCCAGACTTTTCCTCGGGGCGGCCCTTCCCCACCAGTGCCGGGGGCTTGAGTACCACGAATGCTTATTGCCTCCAGCGGTGACCCCTGGTCCGCGACCACCTGCGGCTTTCTGGGGCCACTTCCATCCACAGGCCTTTCTGGGGGAGCGACCCAGGCGCCAGCACCTTCACGCCAGCCCCCCCCCCCCCCCCCCCCCCCCCCACGATTCCCGGGCACCCGAAAGTTTGAGACTCAGTCATTGTTCTAGATTCACTCTTCCACCCCACAGGCTGTCTGGGTTTAGAGTTACTGGTTCAAAATGGAAACCTTGAGGCAATCTCCAAAAAGGCCACGAGATGGGGCTGATCCCCCAATCTCCCCGAAATCCTGCCTGGTCCGATCGCATTTTCTTTCACTGTTTCTCTTATTTGCGTGCCCTAGTGCAAAAAAAGAATCAAAACCACTTAGGGATAAACTTAGGGATACACAGACTCCCTGTGAATCCGTTATCTCTAGGGCCCATTCCGTTCTTCAGTGAGTTTCCCCCTGATCTTGGTTTCCCAGACTGGGAATGGAGCCCGCAATCCAAGGATGGAGACTAGAAATTAACACGTCTTTTTTTCTTGAAGAAGAATGTAAAGGTTAGCATTAAGCAGTAAGGCTCTCCAGTCTTTGGAGAAATCCAGAAGGGGCTTGGTTCTATTCCTATTTGATCCCAAGCCAGGGCATATAGTTCACTTTTCTGACGTCCTTTCCTTTAAATGTAAAAAGAAAATTTGTATTCATTGCTTCACGTTCTTATCCGCTTAGACACTCTGAACTTTTTTTCTTTGCGTATTTCAATTGAGAAGTGACTGAGACTTAGCCAGAGAAATCTTGTGACTTTAACCAATCTGTCACCGCATGTTTCTCCTTTCAGTAGGAAGGGCCTTCTTCAGGGAACCCTGAAGTGCAGATCTCTGGATGCCAACTAACCTGCAAACAAACTTTGCGGTCTTCTCCCTGTCTCCATCTTGTCCCTCCCGATCCCCAGACATCCCTGACAGACGCTGCATTTCCAGCCCCCCTGCCATCACCATGACATTTGTTAGGAACAATAACTATTTTTAAAAATTGTGTTAGGAGACAACAACCATTGGTGCAGAAAGAAGAGGGGAAATGACTTCTTTATTTTTCTTTTTAAAGCAGTTCACTAGAAAGTGACTGCAAATAAAAGCAGAGTTTACTAGATTAGATTAAAAAAAAAAAAAAACCAAGACCCAACTATATGTTACCTAAAAAGAACATACTTTAAATAACAAGTTAGTTATAAGTAGGATAGAAAAAGATGTCCACTGCTGGCAGAAATCACGGAGAGCTGGTGGCCATGTCTTTCTTGAGGAACTTCTAGACTGTTCTCCACAGCAGCTGCGCCATTTTCCTTTCCCACCAACAGTCCACACCCTGGTCACTCCTGGTGATTTTCTTCTCTTCCTTCCCTCCCTCCTCCCTTTCTTTTGATAGCTGCATCCTAATGAGTGTGAAGTGTCTGTGCTTGTGGTTTGAATTGCATTTTCCTAATGATTAGTAACATTGACCATCTTGTCGTGTGCCTGTGGCCCATTGGATATCACCTCTGGAGAGAGGTCTATTCAGATCCTTTGCTCACTTTTTAATCAGATTTTTTGTTGTTATTCAGTCAGGCAAGTTCTTTATATATTCTGGATATTAACCCCTCCTGAGATAAATGATTTGCAAATATTTTCTCCCATTCTGTAAGTTGCCTTTTCACTATTGATTTTGATGTACAGAAACTTTTTTTAATGTCATCCCATTACGGGTTACTTGTTGCTTTGCTCTTGGTGTCATATCCGAGAAATCATTGCCACATCCAATGTCTTGGAGCTTTTCCCCAATGTTTGCTTCTAAATTTGATAGTCTTAGGTCTTATGCTTAAGATTTTGATCTATTTTGAAGTAATTCTTATAAATACTGTGTGTGGCAAGGGCCCAACTTCATTGTTTTGCACGTGAACATACTGTTTTCCTAGCACCATATCTTGAAGAGACTGTCCTTTACCCATCAAGTCCTCAAACTCTTACAGAAGATCATGTGACCATATACACAAAGGTTTATTTTATTTATTTAATGGTTTGTGTGTCTATCTTTATGCCAATACAATGCTGCTTTGATGACTGTAGCTTTATAATGAGTTTTAAAACAAGATGTGGGAGAGCTCCAGCCTTCTCTTCTTTAAAAAGACAGATTTAACCTTGGGGGAGTCTTGAGAGTCCATCTGAATTTTAAGGTGGATTTTTCTTTTCCTGCATTAAACATTGTTGGGATTTTCATTGGGCTTATATTAAATCTGTGGGACATTTTGAGAAGTATTGACCCCTTATTAAGTCTTGAGATACATGAACACAGAATATCTTTCTATTTAGCCGTGTCCTATAATTCTTTTCAACAACATTTTATGATTCTCAAAGTACAGGTCTTTCACCTCCTCAGCTAAGTTTATCCCTAGGTATTTGATTCTTTTTGGTACTAACTGTAAGTGGAGTAATTTTCTAGTTTTGGTTTTTTTGAGCACTCCTTATTTTAAAAAAAAGAAAACTGGCTGCACTGCTGCATCGAGCTTCCCTCCTCCATGGCCACACACCGTCAGAAGAAACAGCAGCTCTTCCCTGGAGGAAGGGTGCCGTCCCCAGCCCGCCAGGACCCAGCCAGCCCAGCCCTCACAGTCCCTGCTTTGCCTCTGCAGGCACTGGACTTTCCACCCTTCTTCTGATGTCCCCAGGGAAGAGTACGGACAGCTGCGATTGCTGCAGGGACTCAGGACTCGGGTGACACGACGAGCTGGTACAGACGGCGACTTGGCGATCTGACATGAGGCAATCCTGAAATCCATCTCTAAGTACCCGATTCTTTCGCAGACATTTTGAATAGAAATTTCTCTGAAATATATCGCGTGTGTTTTTTCCCCTCTGTGAGGTAGGTTGCAGGACGTCATTTTAACTTTTCTCCATGATTCACCCAAATAGACACTAACTACTGTGCTGGGCTAAGTAATCCAGGGGCCTCAGGAGGTGATGGGTCTCTGTCCTGTGAACAGCCATAGATGCTGGTGCTTTTTTTTCTTCTACTCACAGCGAATTGTCTATACCCACCTGCTCCCACTCCCTAGTTGACGCCCCAGTAGAGAACCAGGCCGGCGGGACTCAGACACCAGCAGGAGGAAATCAAGGCCCACTAGTTAGGGCTGCGGGGCCTGGAGGGACTTTCATGGGTGGGGAGAGGGATGCACCGTCAAGAAGGGAAGGCCCCGGAGGCCCCAGAGCCAACGGGAATGGGCAGGACAGTGGGGCAGTCTCTCTTTCTAGGAGCACGCCCTGCAGCCCACCCTTCCCCCCAGCCTCCCCATCCCGGACCCTCCCAAACTCCCCACCCTCCAAAAGGACCAGACCCCAGAAAGCAAGTCCCTCCCACTTGAGGCACCGCACCCCCTAATAATGTGGTGGCCTGCGAGGGTGCTGGGAGGTGTCATCTCTATTTTACATGGCCTGTGACTCCCCCATGGGATCCCACCCTACGGGAAGAGAGAGGGCGAGCCAGCAGCACTTTCACGGACTTGATTCTGTCCTCAACCACGGTCATTTAGTAAACCAGAGGCACCTGGTTCCACAAGAGGCGTGTGTCCTTTTGTGAAGAAGGACTTCAGTTATTTAGACTGTGCTTATGAATTGTTCTTTGTTCAGAACACTCTCAATACTATTCTTCTCCAATGAAATTTATTCCATCGGTAAATTTCCATCATGGGATTGAATTCCATTATCCGTAACGGAGAACCCCAAATGCAGACCCTCACAGACCACCCGGGCACCTGGGAACAAATTCTTGACCTTCTCCAACTCTCCTTTCTTCCTGCAGTACTGCGGACCTCCGTTAAGTAGACAGTAGAGGGAAGGCCTTGTCAGTGGGCGTACACCTGACAAAGTGTGCTGTATCATAGAGCCATGTTATTTCTTTCTACGACCTTACCCAACTCGATTCCTACCTCTTCCGAAGACACTACAGCGTGTCACAGCATCTGCGTTGAATCCCTTCACTGGGGCTTCACATGCCTCTGAAATGGGTAGAGCAGGCAGTAGACATTCTTCTAGACTAGGAAATGCAGGCTCAAGAGGATGGATTCACCTCCCCGGGGTCACGGCTTCCCTCTGGACCAGATCCTCACCTACCTGGTGCGTTTAAACCTGCCCTGGTCTC